CAACTGTCGTGGTTCTAAGTCTGACAGTAGAATGGGGGGTAGCAATGTAGAGGCAAGATCTTAGCTATGGAGGAGTTGTACTCAGGAGTTTTACGAGTTCAGGCCCTTCTCGGAGGAAGTAACAGCCCTACGTCTCGGAGCCCGGAGGCGGTCGACTGGATTATATGCGTGTGTGTTACCGAAAGTGCGAACCCTTGTCCCTGAGGAGGGGGGTGGCTTATATAGAGTTCGCCAGACCCCTCCAGCCCTCAGTTACAAAGTGTTTAAGGTACATAAAGATGGGGACGTTACTGGTAACGCCTGTAATAAAAGTACATAATGACCATTAAGGCTATGACTTAAATCCCGACCGTTGCAGAGTGGAGTGGCTCTAGATCTTTTGGTAGTCGAGTGGTTGTCCGTACGGTCGAGTGTCTTCAAGACTGTTGAGTGGAACATGGCTTCATGGTCGAGTGGATGATGATTTTTCTTCGACTACTTCTGGTTCTTTTAGGGATATTCTTGGGGAGGGTATCTTGAACAGATCCATGACCCTACCCTAGGTACATAGCTTCATCAGGCATCCCAATTGATAGTTTTGGAGCGTGGCGAACCCTTCTTGATAATGTTGGCAAAATATGACGACAATGTTGCTTTTATGATCATGGCTAGTCACCCAGCCACCTCCATGCTTGAATCTCTGGATAAGGTTTTTCTGGCGTCTCCCGTTGATCCGAATATGGAAGTAACGAGTGTTTGCATCCCTTTCTTTGATATTTGTTATCCGTGAGTTCTGCTTTTTTCTAGCTCTTTCCATCACAGCCAGGCCGACCAACTTGCCTAATATTTCAACATGTGGGAGTAAATTTGCGGGGCGCCGTTCGAGATGCCTTAACGTACCCGTCATCTTCATCAATATCATAAATTTTGTGCTAGGCAAAACAGATTATAGTTATGCTTTATGCACGTAGTAGAGACTTTCACATCAAGAATCCACACGGCTTTGTCTCTATCACATTCTAAACTAGCCCTAGTTCTCAGTTATATATACAATGTGATTTGACCTGGGCATGGGCAGAGCGTATGCATCAAGACGTGTAGTAGTGCGCTTCAGTCCTGGCTTCGAAGCTCCTCAAATTTGTTAACTAAGTCGACGTCCCATCCGAAGAAGAAAATGGACGAGAACCAGATGCCATTTAGAGTTAGGCTAGGCAATCTAATTAACTAAGCCGGTGACAGTTTCCTTGTGCCTGCTACCATGTACTATGTGCATGCATGTAGGCATCAATCTTTGGGGATTTTAAAATCCAGACAGGCTAATTAACGAGGGAAACTCGTATGTTTAACCCCCAGCTGCCAATGACACTGACATGTTAGTATATAAGTATAATTTTCTGATGAAAAAGAGAAAACTACAGGTTTTCAGTCAACAGCTATGGACAGGGACGGTTTTACCAGATTAATCATCTGATGTCGATTGTGAGCGGTGATCACTGATGATCGGCAGTTGCTTTCTTGTCTCGGGTCATTGAACCACGTTTTGATTTGCAATCCTTCTTCGATCTTCTTCTCCGATAATATGCCCTGTGCTGATGGCGAGCTATGTTTTTCCCCGATGATAAGTGCCACACGATCAAAGTGTGTGACACTCGCGAACCAATATGTGATTGGATGGCTAGAATGACAGTGGTAGCCTCAGCCCATCAGGATACAAGTCACGTTGCTAGCATTATTTCTGAATTTATTTTAGAATTTCCAGCGATGCGCTGCGCCAACAGTGACTTCGTAAATTTTAAGATGACATACCTGCTCAGTCTCTCGAATGTGCTCATAGGGATAGGATGTGTACGTTCATAGAGGTGAGTATATGCGTGTATGTATGAGCGCTTGTGCCAGTACTGATGTTCAAAAAAAAGGATGACACTCCGGCCTTGACGTTTTTTATGACAATTCCAGTCATGCAACAAAGTCATGCAACAATGGCAACGATGGAAAATTTCATTGACATAGTACGATAAGCTTCGGTCAAAGATAAATTGATGCACGAAAGTTGTCATACTTGTCTTCTCGCGTAACTAAATTCGCCATCGAAAATGTTCGGAGTTGCCATATGCTGGCACCTGACTTTCGACTCTCACTAGGGTCTTTTATTTTGTTTTATGGTATAGTAAGAGCAACTCTAACACGCCGACCCAAACGGACATCGATTTTGTTCGTTTTTTGTCTGTTTGGATGGTCCGGCGGACATCTATGTCGGCTTTCGCATTTGGGTCAGTGCTTGCGTCCAACGCTGGCCCGACCCATTTTTCAGGTCACGCGTAAAAAACATGACACAACACATTTTGGAAAAAAATAAAAAGATTAATTAAACATTAATGCCGCCCCAAAGGGCGACGAGAGTCCACGAGTCCACTTACATTAACTATAACATAATTAAAACTAGGCACGCTGCCCTAGGCGTCCTCGTCGTCCTTGTCAGGGTCGGTGAGGTCGATGAGCTTCAGCGCCGGGTCAGCCCAAGGGAAGGTCGTCGACCACGCGATAGCGACGTCGTCCGCCGGCGGCGGTTGGGCTGGCCCAGTGCCGGCAAGGCGCGCCTCCTCCTCCGCCTCGCGCTGCTCCTCCTTCGCGTCGCGCTCGAGCATCTCGAGGTACTCGCCCTCGCGGCGCTCCTCAGCCAGTCGTTGCTATCGCCACTGCTCGAGGTAGGTCTGCTCCTGCGCCGGCGTCACCCGATACCAGACCGGTGGCACACTGACCCACTCGCGCACATGCCCGGTCCACGGGTAGCGCTCGATGGGGGGCGGCGGCGGGGAGCCATGGCGCACGTCGCGGGCGCTGTGCCTCCTGGCCTCCTCGAGCTCGAAGGAGAACCACCGCTGCCGTGCGGACGAGACGAATCCGTACGTCGGGTCACGACGCTGCTCCGGCGTCAGCAGCTACCTCCGGCGCCGCACCTCCTCCGCATGCGCCCGCGCCGGCCGCGGCACCGCCGGCACAGGGATCCTCTCCGGATCCAAATGTCAGTCGTGTGGCAGCGTCACGTCGGGGTAGGGAAGGGGCGCGACGCTCCCAGTGCCACTTCGCCTGGTGCACTTGGACGCTGATGCGCTACCTCGGCCGATGGGAAGACGATGATGGAGGCGGGGAGGAGGGGGGCGTTGGGGTGGCTAGGGTTTCCTAGGCTTTGTCGCCGACGGGGAAGCACAGTGGTGGCAAGATGGGGACGGGGCGTCTTGAAGCGGATGATGATGGCTCCCCACCGCACGCTCGAATTAAAAAAAGACCGACGACTGTCGCTGGCGCGTGGGCCCGTGATGGGCGGTCGTGATTAATAAAGCTGGTCGCGGTAGTTGGGCAGCCGTTAAGTGAGGATGCGGCGGAGAGGATGCTCGGCGAGTCCACTTCGCATCCGCGCCGACGTATTTCAGCCGCAAATTTGGGCCGCAAATAGGTTTGCTCGTACGCGAAGCCGACACGTTTTGAAAATGGGTCGGCACATTGGACCAGCATTTTTGTTTATAATAATCCAAACGGACAGCAAGGGACGAAATGGGTACGTGCATTGGAGTTGCTCTAAGCCGAGGATGTGCAAAAGACTGTATTCCGGGCGGAGTCTTGAAGGCTAATGAGTCTTGAAGGTTACAGATTTAAGCACAGCTCGACTCTGAAGATGGTACCTTTTGTGGATAAAAGCAATGATGCTTTAGCGTGCTCTCAAGCAAAGTAATCGAGGGAAAGAGAGAGATCAAGTGCTTAACTGGACGACGTCAGGGGTCAAAAGCTGACGCCAGTGAGTGAAATGATGATGCATTTTGGTGCAAACTGCTGCTTCAGCTTTCTAACTTTGCTGTTTCATCCTCTTTCCGGGTGTCTCGTTGATTATTCATTCACCTTTGGGACTCCAAGCCTGAACATATATACTCTTCTGGCCTGGCCAGCCTGAAAAATAGTGATGCAGCAACTGCCTGAATGTAGACGCGGCCATGAGTGAACTCTTCATGGTGCCACTTGGGATTTGGTGTGGTGTGACCAAAGGAATGAGCATTGATTGCACTGACTGCACGAACGAATTTCCCAGGGGGTCCTTGCATGCCAGAGATTGGCACTTTTCTGTCCCTCCTGATATAGTGAAAAATGAAATCTAATCACGCCCAGCAAAGCTGAAATTAATAGTGCAACATGCAGTTCCTGATAAACCGAAACTTTTCAACTAGGACGTGCACACAAACAAATCACTAGTACTAGTAGTACTAAAATGGTGGAAGACTTTTCCACCACAACAACAGTTGTAAAGATTGGCTAGGCTGCCCTAGAGGAGGCTTGGGTAGATGAGCAGATAGATTTGTGGCGGGGCATGGAAACTAGCGCACATGCTGCAGACGAGACGAGACGAGACGAGCGAGCCACAACTGTATGCACTGCTCCTTCCTTCCTGCAAACAAAATAGTTTTATGTCCACAGACAGTTTTATGTTCAGACAGACACGATCATCGGGAATTTTGCACAGCCCTCTCTCTTTCTTTCTGTTGCCACCGAACCGTGGGCTACAGTAGGAAAGCCATTGCAGCGGAAGATAAAGTGGTCTGGAGAGGAGAGGCTGGCCAGTTGAAGCAGTAGGAGAGGGAGGGGAGAGAAGGCCACTTTATCGCCTTTTTCATGTTGCACGCTATCATTTCAAGATCAATACGCTGCCAAGAGAATAAAATACTCTCGCTCTCCGCCTTCCCCCACAGCCTCACATCCATCGCACACGCAAAGAGGAGAGGAGAGGAGAGGGACACGGGCCACAGCGACAGCAGTACAAGGCTGGTGCTGCTGGTAGCGGTAGCTCCCTACTACTAGGACTGTGCACTACTAATGGCCCCGTAGACTCCGCACCAGAGCCAACTTTGGAGCGAGCGACGAGGGAGGAGAGGTCGACGGAGGAAGGAGAAGACGAGACTAGACTAGACTATAGAGACCAGCGCCGAGTTCTTCCCGGCGGGGATTGGTGGCATGAGGTGTTGCTGCCGGGCTAGATGAGAGGAATGCCCTTTGCGGGAGAGGGTCACGCGGGGAGACTGCAGCAGCAGCCCAAGCTCAGCGCCGGCTTCTGGGCGGAGCCCACGTCCGTGCTCGACCGCCGCCACAGCCCCAGCCCCAGCCCGCCCTCCGAGGCCTCCGCGCTGTCGTCGTCCGAGGTGGCGAGCCTCGCGCCCGGCGGCGACGCCAAGAACGTATCCCCGCCGCCGCAGCAGCATCAGGCATGGCCGCCCGGGGAGGATGCTGCCACGGGGGTCAAGGAGGAGTGGGCGCACCAGCTGGCGCCGCTCGACATGGCCATGGGCCTCGGCGCCGGCGAGGGCTGGGACGGCACGGCGCCGCCCGGGCTCGCCGGCCCTGACAGCACCTTCCTCCGCTGGATCATTGGCGGCGGGGAGGACGCGTCCGCCGGGATGGCCGGCGTCATGGATCCGCCCGCTCTGGAGCTCGACCACGCCACGTCTATGATGTCGCCGCCCACGGCGTCGCTCGGGCCCAGCCTGTCGCCGTTCGCGCCGGCCATGGAGGAGGACGCCAAGGGGGCCCCGTTCGGCCACGCGCCCAGCTACCTGCTCCACCAGCACCAGCACCACCCCCAGCCACACGCGGCCTTCTTTGGCGCGCACCCGTCCTTCGAGTCGGCGCCGCCGCCGCCCAAGCGCCACCACCCGATGGCAGGCGCGCCGGCGCCGAAGCTGCCTGCTTTCCAGGGGCATCTCGCTCCGGCGGGCGGGTTCTTCCCCGCCCTCAAGCCCAAGGCGGGGACGGCGAACGACGAGGCGGCCGCCACGGTGGACCAGCTCGCCGAGGCTGCCAAGTTTGCCGAGGCGGGCGACGCCTTCGGCGCACGCGAGATATTGGCGCGGCTCAATTATCGGCTCCCCGCCGCCCCCGCGGCCGGGACGCCACTCCTCCGCTCTGCCTTCTACTTCAAGGAGGCTTTGCGCCTCGCGCTCTCCCCCAACGGAGAGACGCCCGCGCCGCCGGCGTCCACGCCCTACGACGTGGTCCTCAAGCTCGGCGCGTACAAGGCCTTCTCCGAGGTCTCCCCGGTGCTCCAGTTCGCGCACCTCACCTGCGTCCAGGCGGTGCTCGACGGGCTCCGCGGCGCAGGCTGCATCCACGTGCTCGACTTCGACATCGGCATGGGCGAGCAGTGGGCGTCGCTGGTGCAGGAGCTCGCGCAGCGCCGCCCGGCGACGGCGCTCAAGGTCACCGCATTGGTCTCGCCGGCGTCGCACCACCCGCTCGAGCTGCAGCTCATCCACGAGAACCTCTCAAGCTTCGCCGCCGAGCTCGGCGTGTTCTTCCAGTTCACCGTATTCAACATCGACACTCTTGACCCCGCGGACCTGGTGGCCATCGCCGGCGGGGACGCGCTCGCCGTCCACCTGCCCGTCGGCGCAGCACACGCGGCCGCAATGCCCGCCGTCCTCCGCCTCGTGAAGAGCCTCGGCGCCAAGGTGGTCGTGTCCGTGGACCGCGGGCGCGACCGCACGGAGCTGCCCTTCGCCGCGCACCTGTTCCAGGCGTTCCAGTCCACCGTCTTCCTCCTCGAGTCCGTGGACGCCGTGGGCACCGACCCCGACACGGCCGGCAAGATCGAGCGGTTCCTGGTCCAGCCGGCCGTGGAGCAATGCGTGGTCGGGCGCCACCGCGCGTCCATCGAGAAGGCGCCGCTGCCGTGGCGGGCCGTGTTCGCGTCGGCCGGGTTCACGCCGGTGCAGGCCAGCACGTTCGCGGAGTCGCAGGCCGAGTCGCTGCTGCACAAGGTGCCCGTCCGGGGGTTCCGCGTCGAGAAGCGCGCCCCGGGATCGCTCTGCCTCTACTGGCAGCGCGCCGAGCTCGTGTCGGTCTCGGCGTGGCGGTGCTGACAACCCCGACCTCGCCGGCGCCGGCGCCGTCGCCGGCGTCAAAAGAAGCCGATCGGACTTAGTTAGGACTAATGATCCTACTACAAAGTACTTATTTCGTCGTTGTAATGATCCGAATCCGTCTCGCTTAGTGTCCTAAATTGGAAGTACTCCTATGTTAATGGTGTCGCCTTGCATTTGCCGCTGGTTGCTCGGTATGCTCAAACTGTGGTGTCAGTTGATCACGAGTAGAATTGGCATGGCTTGGCAGGTTGCAGGGTGTGTGTGTGTCGCGGTGCGGTGCGTTTCTACCCTCTACGTGTTGCTACTCTATAGCTGTGAAATCAATGGTTATGGCGTTTTCAAATGTTTCTTCTCCCGCTCCCTCCGTCCTTGACCGTTCTCTTCTCCGCTTGTCTTACCTGCCAGTTTTTTTAGGAGTCTTTGGGCCTTTCCAACCCTGATGGCCAACATTTCAATATATTACGTGCAAACCGGATAAAATTTAACAAGTTCAAAACGAACTTAAAAGTAGCATAAAGTAAACTAGGCATGGCAGCGGAAGTTGACCTTGTAGGCCATGCCTATAGTGCCATCGGCACCTCCCTCATCAAGCACGTCATTGTCGTCACCTCCGACGTCGGATCCGTCGCCGCTATAGTGGCGGAAGGCCCACCGAGCATCA